GAAAATCAATGACCCCCTGGGTCATGGGGCCAATTTTGACCCCAGGGCTTTTATTTGAACAAACTTGGTAGACACTCACTAGAAGATGTTTCATGCCAAATATCTTAGCTCTAGCTCTTTGGGTTCTTTAAAAGAAGATTTTTTAAGTTTTTACTATATGCATATAGGGAAAATCAATGACCCCCTGGGGCGGGGTCAATTTTGACCCTAGGGCTTTTATTTGAACAAACTTGGTAGACACCCATTAGAAGATGTTTCACGCCAAATATCTAAGCTCTAGCTCTGACGGTTCTTTAAAAGAAGATATTTAAAGATTTTTCTTTCGGTTGCCATGGCAACCAGAGTTCTGCATGAAATGGAATTCTTTGAACAATCTTGATAGAGCTTCATACAAAGAGTATTCCTGCCAAGTTTCATTAACATTGGCCTTGCGGTATCATAGAATATGTCCTTAGAATATTTAAAATGTGGACGGACGACGGACGCCATTTGGTTGGCCATCCTAAAAGCTCACCTGCACTTTGTGCAAGGTGAGCTAAAAACAAATCATTACAAATGAAATGTAGAAAAACCTTTGGAGGATATTAATTTGATAAGAATCCCACTTAGTGGAAATGAACTCGGAACATGAAATGTGTCTGTGAATAAGACCCTGCCTGCTTCCACTTTTATTCACTTCCTTTATATATTTTCACTGTTAGAAAGAATATATCTTAAACATAGAAAGTTTCAAAAGAACTTCTGGCACAATTAACGTCTTTGTGACAATGTGTACTTACTATGAACATTTAATGTGACAAAACTATGGTGTACTAGTAAATATATGTACTGGCCATTATACATGTATAATAATGAAAACTAAAATGCAAATTTAATACAAATATATCTGATCATTGGAAAAAAAATTTAACTGAATTGTATAAGAAAGATTCTTATTCACTACTTGAAATATAATAAAATAAACAACAACTAGGACTAACATTGATTTCAGCCCATTAAAAGCCTTCATAAATTTAAAATATCTGATTTATCTGATACAAAGTATGTTGGGAAAATTTCATCAAAAGTTAATTTGCAATGAAATCTGACATTAACTGAATCAAATACATAGACATAAGAAAAGTATGCAGCTTTAAGAATACATTGCTCAATATGAGGCTAATTTCTTTGTTGTGGGACAAAAATCTTCTTCAGGACGCCTTTATGACAGTCACCCGATGTTCATGGGCATCATAATTGCTGACTCATACATGATATTTAATGCATTTCATCACTTTCTTTCTTTAAATAAGGAGACATTTTGTGAATAGCTTTTTTCATGTGTAAAAGAATATAAAACTGCCAACAAATCCATACTTATACAGCTAAAAATAACTAACTTCATCTGAGGTGACTGACTCTACTATCATGGAAAAAAATAAATTTTAAGTCTTAAACTTATCATGAACTGTAAACAAAGCATATATCTGAGACAAAAATAAACAAAATCTCTTAAAAAAAGCAAATAAATAAATGAAAGACATAACATTGCATTTAAATAGCACTAGTTACACAATTAAGATCAGCACTGTAGAATATTTTATAATGCAGGAAATACAGTTTCCATGGCAACAAAACACAAAATAAAATAATAATTGTGTTCTTGGTGTATTTTTTGTACAAAATCTGTAAACACTAGAAAGTTAAAACAGAAAAAGAAAAATTAAAGCTGATAATCTTAGCATTTCATTACATAATATTATAAAACGGAACATGTATATTTTGGTAGTGTTTAAAGAAATGCATAATTATGGTAGGGCTGTAAGAAGCGTCTAGACTGTAAAGGTTATTTGGCAACTGTCCAGCTTTACTGGTGGAGGACGACCTCGGATGCCCCTATAAGCATTATTTCAGGTATAGACAGGACACCAGAGCAGTTTGCTAGGTAAGCTTGCTGGATAAATACTTTTCACATAAAATCTAAAATTTAAACAGAATTCCAACACACAACTGTGACACATGAGTGATTCAAGTTGGTGACCTACTTTAACCACGCAGCCATTGTAAAGTTCAAAAACAAATATTCCTAACATAGACAAAATGAAAATGAGAGATAGGTGTACAAAGCATGAATACAAAGTACAATTTTGTTCCGATAATAAAATCTGAGACTTTGCAATCAATTATGTAAGCTTAAAGACCTTCCAAGAACTGAAAGATTTAAGCATAAAAACAATCAAGACTGAGGTACATGTACATGGAAAGCAGTCCAATTGTACACTATATACATTTGTACATGTATAAATAAATTTAATTTTTTGATAATCATATCACTTCAATAATTTCCAAATTGTCCAACTTTAAAACCAATTAAATAGGATCAAAGTATGAAAGACAAAAAATGATCTGCTATTATAGTAATTTCACTATATAATTAAGAATTCCATTTGGTGCTGTCTTAAGAGTTGAAACTTCAATTGATATTAGACAAAAAACTGAATCTAACATAAACATATGAATATGTAGTTCATTTTCATATGATTACAATCTTCTTGTTAGATCTATAAGCATACTGTCAACAGAATATCAATTTGAAATAACTAGTAAAAAATTCAATTTAAAAACAACTTATACTAAGGGAGATAACGTGCACAGTTTAACAATTGCACTGATACATATATACGATAAAAGCAAAAATAAAAATCTCATGTACAGCAATCATACATTAACAATAAAAGGCATCGTCAATGTACATATAGTATTTATATCTGTAAGTATATAAATTATAATATCTGATAAATAAAACAGTATAGCAGTAACTGCCACCTTCATCATGTACATTCTGCGTCTGCTGCAAAACATTTATATCTCAATCAATTCATTGATATATAACTGCATTAACTCCTATTATGTTCTCATCTACTCCATTCTAATATTAGGTTTTTATTATGTTCTGATCCAATTGGTTAGATTTTCATTATGCTCAATTCTGATCTCATTGGTTAGATTTTTATTATAATTACGTTCTGATACCTCCGGTATTCAAATTAGCCAATGCTTTTGGTTCTCATTCTATTCTCTACCAAGTACTGACCAATACCAATCAAAAACAAGTCATTATTTCTCACAAAGATGCCAATAAAAATACATCATTACATATCAACATTTCAAAAGTTTGCCTGTGCCTTGATGACATGTACTGACAACATCACTATATAGGAGTCTAACAGTATAACCAGTCAATTGGCAAAACTATGTGATGTTATATATTGTGTATTTTACTTAAGCAATGATTCTGAAGAAGTTCTTACAGCTTCTTAATTCATTTTTTAGTTCACATTGTCTAAGATTCTTCAACACTCATTCAAAACAACTAATCAAGATTTATTGGTATCATATCAATATGGTTCTGTTAATTGTTACCCTGCTGGAACCTATAGTGATCAGCCTTTGTAACAAGTTTTAGAGTCTGGCCAACTTTTATATCAATTCAGTTGAATTTATACAAATTCAGCAGGTAACGGTTTTAAAGCCGACCGATCAGACAAGACCAGTTGAGATTAAGCTTCACTTTAGGTTTGAAGTAGTCGGCTGGGTAGAGACCAGTTGTGCCGTCTGCTAGCATTCCTACATACCATCCTTGGCGGTCACACTGGGAAAAATATTTCGTTATTATTTATAAGTATTAATAAACATTTAATCGAACTCATAAGATTTTTCACAATGACAAAGCCTGTTTTTGGACAGTCCCCTCAACTTTCATCAGTGCTGGATAGTTATATAAAAGGAACATAAAATAAGGGGAACACCTTTCCAAAATATAATTTTAGGATTATATCATACATGCCATAACACCCCAGACATCCATGATTGTCACGGAAATCAGTCAGCGGCCCCGGAGAATAATTTTCTGGGGAAAAATAGAAATCTGGAAATTTTGATTGATATGTAACTTTTGTAAAAAATTGCTGCACTCAAAACTATGGACAATTCTATTCCAAAAGATTATTACAAAGTCCAATTTCATTTGCATGGAGCATAAAAAAAGTACAATTTCATTGGAAAAGAGGCACATACGTAAGAGATATAGGCTAAACTGCAATACATGCATTTGACAAGAATAAAATTACTCTAAGAACACAATTATTTTACAAGTTATAAGAAAATCTATTAATATGAAATTGCCCCTTACATCACTTAGTTCTTTTATAAATCCTCGGATGTTTGGAAGGTCTGTCAGGCTTCGGACTGAGGCTATCATTTTCCGGCTCATTTTTATCATGTTTTGAGCTCACAAAATCTCACCTTTTTAACATATGTAGCTGGTACCCATCCTTCAAGCTTCGTACTGTCATTTATACCTCTCATCCAACCATTTTTAGCGCCACACTCTTTGCACAGGATTATGTCCCCTTTGTATAAAGTAAGCTCTGTGTCTACACGGGCTACAAACGGGTACAGAGCAACATATTGTGTATACTCATCTAAAATTACAGAAAATTCATGTTATAGACACATAGTATTATACCGAACATGTTTCAATATGAAAAAACAAAGCCCTTTTTCTTCAAGTTAATATGAGTAAATTTAATACAAAAAAATATCTGTAAACACATTCCTAACCTTTAAACAATACATTCCATCAATTCCAAACTTGCAAATACATGTTATTGTAAGGGATTTCTGATTTGAAAAAGGTAAAATTGATACTAACAGTATGTGCAGACTGGCCTGACTTAAGACATACAAAAATCATTTTATTATTACTAACATACAAAAAAGCATATAAAAACTTTCAAAGTAAGTCACAAAGAAAAAACAGAATTTGTAAATATTAAATGTTTCATGGAAGTCAATTAACTTGCTATGTATGACTCTTTTTAACTTGACAAAGTGGAACATTCATTTGAAGGAGAAGTAAACATGTTATACCAACATTCAGAAGGACAGGCCAGTCATATACACAATATTACAATCATCTATACAACAGAGGACAATATTTCATTCCAGGAAAGTACTTACCTTATGAAGTATCTTTAATCGAGGATATAATATCTGACTTTGTAGGTGTGGTACTATTGCTCCTGTCTACACCAGACTTTCTCTTGTCCTGAAATCATGACAGTTTATGCATGAATGAACAAATTTCCAATGTTTCCATAACTTGATCAAGTGGGGCATTCATTTGAAGGAGAAGTAAACATGTTATACCAACATTCAGAAGGACCACCCTGTCATATACACAATATACAGGGGACAATATTTCATTCCAGGAAAGTACTTACCAAATGAAGTATCTTTAATCGAGGATATAATATCTGACTTTGTAGGTGTGGTACTATTACTTCTGTCTACACCCGACTTTCTCTTGTCCTGAAATGCATGAATGAACAAATTACATTATGTTTCTATAATTACACATTTAGTTAAGCTCTGTTATTTTATAAATTTGCCATAGTATTGAAAAATTTAAAATTTAAATTTAAATCATGAAATAATTGCTGTACTAAAGCCATAATTAGATATTTCCAGCACTTGGAAAAGTCCACAATCAATGGTATTTTTTTTCTTCTTTTTGTTTTGGTTTTCATATTGCACACAGTATTAATGTTATTTTGCAAATTTAATTTGATAAGTTGTTGTCCTTTTTTTGTTGGGTTTTACATTGTTCCAACACAGAAGAGGTCATATGGCAACTTTTCAATTTTATTGGTGGAGGAAGACCTCAGGTGCCCATCCATGCATTATTTCAGACACAAATTGGCACCTGAGTGGAACCTATGACCTTCTGCAAGCTAGCTTGTTAACTTCCTTGCATGAAAGAATCCAAAGTCCCTATTGGGATTCCAACCCAAAGCGGTGAGGGGCCAGTGGTTTGACACCAATAACCTTAACCAATCTGCAATGGATGCACCCTGAATGGTAAATCTTCCCTATCCCTTAACCTCCTGGAAGTGATTAGTGTTGTCACCAGCCTGCACATCTGGGCAGTCCAACAAGCCTCTATGCTGTTGGTAGTTCATTTTTTGTATCTTTACATAGAAATCCCATATAATTTGAATGGACTCTTCCAAAATCAAATCTAGGCAAATTTGTTACACAAATTCAGCAGGCTAAGGGTGAGACATGCACACATTTTAAAATCTAGACACTTATCTCAGTTGCTTAATTAATTTTTCAGTTATTTCCCATAGAATGTAATGTTAAACATTAAACTTATAACCCTTATAAACAAGTTGTGTATGTGACAAGTATAGAGCCAAACCAGCAATCTGTAGATAAAAGCAAATCAATCATTGAACAAAATTTTTTTGGACCACAATTATTTTTCATAATCTTAGAAATTAAAACATTGCTCAATGAAAAGAAATATTCAAATATTGACATCTTAAAAAGCAAAATTAAAATTTTTATAAAATGAATCAATAATGTAATAAGTTATTGAATTTAGGGAATATATAATTCTGTCATTTATGTAAACCATTCAACAATTTCTCATAAAATTCCTTTGTCAAACAGAAATTTTCAACATTTACGAGTCTATCATTTACGGGACTCACTCTCTTTCACCATCTCTTGTGATTTATTCTGCTTGATTTGTTGAATTATTTCAACTTTTTAATGGACATTGGTATTATTGTAATGGTATTCTTCCACGAAAACAAAGATGTATGCAATGTTTTTCAAAATACTAATGAAATCGTTTTACAGAAATAGGAAATTTTGAGTCCACGCTTAACGGTATAAATGCAATAATATTGGAGTATATTAAATTAATTGTAAGATAGAAAGTTCTTTGGAGCAGATGTGGTGAAAACTAACTAGTATTTGTCCTTAAATAAATACATTCTGAAAACTTTATAACATTTTCATATTTTTTTAGTTAAATGGGATATGACTATTCATGCATCTTGATATAAAATATTTTACTTTATTTAGATACTTAATATATGTTTAAGCAAAACAGTCCCGTAAATGACCAGAGCAAAAGAACATTATAAAAGAGTGATTTTCTCAATAAAAGCGATATTTTTATGAGAAAAATTATTTGTTTTGATTCATATACTGGTAATATTTTATATTTAAGATTTCGAGATACTTATAATTCTGAAATGGAATAGAATTTAGTTATACAAGAAAGTTCATTTTTCAGTTCAAGAATCTATGAAATGCCATACTTAAGTAAGAATAAGTGATAAACTTGAGTTTCGCAAATTTTGGATTATAAAAAATAAAACCGTCTTCAATACATGTCATGTTATTATAAATCTATAAATAACTTTATTTATTTTCATGTAAAATACATTATAAGTGCTCAATAAAGTAAAGTGATTCCTGTTTCAAAACAAATGGCTTCCTAGCTCAGCATCATGGTACATGTTAAATTTTATTTAGTTAAACGTCGCATAATTCATACTCAAATTGTAATTTTTCGACTTTTAAAGTGTGAGAAACAGCAAATGTATAATAAACAAATAAGATCGCAATCCACGATCTCTGGACTGACAAATATTCATACCAAATCTTTAATTTTGATTTGTGATTATCCGAGTACTCGGTAACTTGCCCGGGCAGCCCTATTTTGTTTAAAATACAAGTCAGGAAGTCTCAATCATGCTGTTTTCAATGCTGTAATTGAATGATTTAATTTTCTCAATACAGTTTATAACTGTCCTACTAAGTCAACATTAAAGATTAAAACATTTACACAATGATAAACTAGGGAAGATAACAACTTAACTATTCAGCACGGTGTGAAAGAACAACTTTGAATTTAAAAATTCAGGACTTTTTCATATTCTGACCAAGTTAAAATACTGATTGAAAAACACAACGCTAAAATTTAATAGTTTCTCACACACTACACACTTTATTTACTAAATAAATGACTGATATCTTTCGGGTTTAAACATGTTACTTTACAATGTTATCAGTGTTATAAATAAGGAAGTAAAAAAAAAGAACAAATTCCACGTATCCAATATCAACAGCAAAATATTTACATGACAATCTGAGGATTACAATTTCAAGGTACAATATTTTTATTAAATATCTTATTAATGTCTACAAAAAATTACTCTCTTACAACTAGTGAGCATAATCATTTTATAAAGTACTTTTTTAAAAAGGAAGTTCAATTAAATATACATATATTTTGATACACAAAGTCATGGTATTGAGAAACTTCTGGACTGGGTTATTTTTGCATGCCTTTTAATTATATTTATATTTGTAATCAGACCCGTCAGTGGACAGAGCGCTCCACTTTTCTAATTGCTTTATAATATAATTCAATAAAATCAACAAAGAAAAGAAGGGGTATAATTCTGTAAATGTGATTAGCAGACTCACAAGAATTTCAAGTTTGAAGTGAATATATTTTTTTGGTTATAATATAATTTTAGGATTATCTGCCCTTTTGAAACTCAAAAATTAGGCACAGCATAGTTACGGTTGGGGCCTATGGGTTGTAGAGTTATTGGTTTGAATAAAAGGTCAATCTCACTTTGACCTTTTTAATTTCAAACCTTTTAGATTTGGCATTCACGAAGTGCCCAAGACTAATGCTGATATGAAGAAACTAGGACAATTAAGGCATTATGTCATATGTCAAATAAAATTTAAACAATTGTCTTCTTGGTGGGCGGGGTGAAAGGGGGGGGGCTCTATTCTTGAACCGGAAATATAAATAAATGATTCGCCCTATTTTCTTTAGTTCATAATATACAAGTTTTACTTCTGAAATATACAGCAGGGTCTTATTCAATAGATTGCCATTTTTTCCTGATTTCCTTTATATTTTGATTCGGGGTAAATTTAGTCCAGTGATTATTTTAAGATATCTGATATCCCAATTTTGGAAATGTCTGATGTAAGTGTATTTGCATACAACCTTTACCTTTTACATCACCTTATCATACATGGCCGGATAATCATATTGATATAAAAGACTTAAATCAAATAAGTTAATTGATATATACACTACGACATAGCATTAGATCATAAACAAGAACGTGTTTGTTAAACACAAATGCCCCCGGCTCAGATTCTTGTCAGTAGCAATATTTCAAAAATGTTTACCCATTCACTCAGTTATGGACAGAAAAACTGCCAAAAACTTGTAAACACAAGTTATATAGCTTGACAAAGTCATGGCATTTTGTAATTGTGAAAAATATAAGTTGCCAAGTCATTGCTCTGACTTGTGAAGTTGAAAAATATTCAACTTCATGCAAGTTATTTTCCTATCAAATATGAAATACATCTGTCATTAAATAAAGGCTGTATGGGCAAAAGTGTAAAAATTCTATTTTGAGCACTGGTGACCTTGGCCAAACTGACCCCTAACTCTATCCAAAAGAAGAATACCATGTAAGTTATCTTCCTACAAAATATGAAATACATCTGTCAATAAATAAAGGCTGTATGGGCAAAAGTGTAAAAAATCTATTTTTAGCACTGGTGACCTTGACCCAACTGACCCCTTACTCCATCTAAAGGAAGAATACCACGCAAGTTATCTTCCTACCAAATATGAAATACATCTGTCAATAAATAAAAGCTGTATGGGCAAAAGTGTAAAAATCTATTTTTAGCACAAGTGACCTTGACCCACTGATCCCTACCCCAATCAAAAGGATGAATACCATGCAAGTTATCTTCCTACCAAATATAAAATATATCTGTCACTTAATAGAGGCTGTATGAGCAAATGTGTAAATATCCATGTTTAGCACTGGTGACCTTGACCCAACTGACCACTTACTCCATCAAAGTTTATGTTTCTATCAATTATAAATAACATCTGTCTAAAGAATAAGGTTAATTCACCTGTAAAAATGTAAAAATCTATTTTTAACATTGGTGACCTTGACATTGGTAACATTGACCTTGACCCAAATGACCCCTTACTACACCCAAAGAAGGAGGACCTCCCTTGGCATGTTTGTATTAAACTAAGATATCAACTAAAAAATAAAGGCTGTATGAGCAAAAATGTTTATAATTATTTTTTAAACCAGTGACCTTGACCTTGACCCTAGAGACCGCTTACTCCACGAAAAATTAGAGGACCATCAAAGGTATCCACCTACTAAATATGAAAGATATCATTAAATAAATTAAGCAATTAGGAGAAATTTAAGATAAATCCAACTTGCCGAAATAGGTTAAACAGACAAGGCCCTATTTTCAAAGTGAAAAAGGGAAATAACTGGGAAATATGGATGACTCAATTATATAACTTGGCAATATCATGTACTTTGTATTGATAAGTAAGTATGGAAATTATAAAGCCATTAGTATAGATAGAACTTAAGATATTTCCAACTTGCCGTTTTAGGTTAACCATTATTCATTTTCTAAGTGCTGAA